TTTTCTTTTGCCTTGATATATGGATTCGTCAGCTCTAATGATAACGAAACGTTTCCTGTCGATTGCAATTTGGAATTAAAAGGCTGCAACTGCACACGCAAAGTTCTTGCGAAATTACTGCCGTGCAAAGTAACCGAGTTGGCGGAAAACTTCATTCCTAGCAGCATAATTTAATTGCTGCTGCGACGGGAGGTGCAAAGAACGACCAAATAATTATATAAGTTTTCACTCGACGGTGAGCGTCGCGCGATAAATTTCATTGCAGGGGCAAAAAGCGTCTTTCATGCGAGAGAGCGAGTGAAAATGGTGCAGTGCATGAAACTACGACTGCGCTTCAACTATTGTTCTTCTTTATGGCCAAACGACTCGTCGCCGTCTGAAGCAATAAAAATAACGAATCGCCGGCACTCGGTGGCTGAACTTGATTTTTCCGCTCCGGCTGCAAACAATTTTTCACTTTCATGCCTCATAAACCGTGGTGAATATGGACATGCACGGAAAACAGCCCCATTCCATTTTTATAAAAACTATGTTATGAATTATTGTAGGAAAATGCATTAATTTGTCAAACATCAAAGGAAATTAGCTTAAAAAAATGAATATTTTCAGGAAGTATAAAAATAATCATCATGAAAATGAGGAATAATATTTCAATATTGTTTTTTCAATTGGAAAAATATATGGACAAGATACCATTCATAAGAAACAATAAATAAAGATCAGAATTCAATGACAGGGAAAATAAACAAAGCCCGCAGAAATAAAACAATTGCCGCTTAAGAAACGAGAGAGATTATTTCACAGTATTTACAGCGACAGAAATTGTTTTGTTAACCTCTTCCTTAGGGATCTGATTCAATTACAAACACAAAAAAGAAAAAGGTTAAAGGGTAAATTTGTATTTTTTTCAATGCTTTTTATCTGTGAATTTTTTATTCCTCTCCTTTGCTTCGTAATTTATTTTAATGTGCGTAGCTTTCAACTATAATAATATAGAGCAATGTAACATTTAAAATTTCAAAAACACTATTTTATAATGTAAGCATTTTCTAAATTGGGGATAGAAAAAAAGGGCAGCCATTCAATCACTTTTTGTTGGAAAAGAGTAAAAACTACAAAAACAATAAAAGATGAACAACATTTTTAACTAAAATTTGAGGTATCAAAAATCAACTCCATTTGAGGAACTGAATTTTCTTAAAAATTTGAAGGCTTAGAATGATGGACTAAACATTTTCATGAAATTATTCTTTTTAGCTTTAATAAATCCTCACGTTTGTTCAAACTTTCAAAGATTGAAATTATAATCATGAATAACGAGTTCTGAGGTGTATAATAATTGTCAATGTTAGAGAAGATTTCAAAGCACGGATGCATGAAGTGCAGATTGGAGTGCAACTGTCGGCACCACAGCCCTCGCACAAAGCCGGTCTTTGGCGCGCTTCCTCATTACGAGAGATAACAGGCCTGGCTGGATCTCTTTTGAGGATAAATTGCAGCTGCGCGGAGATGGTCCCGCGCAATAAAGAACTTTCAAATTAATTTTTTCGCCGCAACCGTGCAGGTTGGCTAAAAAGTTTGCAACATCCTCACTGTCAGACTCTGAAGCAATAAAGCGAACGCGTTCAGCGCACGTAATATGTTAATTCGGCGGCGCCGACACCATGAAATATAAGCAGACGTGCGTGTTTGTTGTAGGGCAGAGGCGTGCGTAGGCTTGTTTTATGTGTTATATCGTCGCGCGCGCACTTAATAAACAACATTCTCTGCGGCCCATTTGTGCGACGAATTAGCGAGTTGTCCTTTGTGTCGCCGCTGAAAGCAAATTTGCGAGCCGTGAAAACCAATTTATGCTGAATTAAAATCGATTTTGATGAGGCCCATTGTTCTGCACTTAACGCGGCTTGTTCAGCCTCTGGAAAACGGTTTGTTTCAGACAAAATTCAAATTTATTGATATCAATAAATGGAAATGCATCTTATTTGCTTCATTAAAAAAATAGTGTCCCTTGAAAGAGGAAGATCATATTTTTGATAAAAACTTGGTTATATTTTCAATTTTAGTTTTCCTCTAGTTTTTTTGTAACATCGTAAAAAAATAAAAATAGATAATATTATTCTGAACTGCTGTTGTTTGAGAATTTTCCTAAAAATTACTCTAACATTTCCAGCATTCCACATAAAAAAGCTTTTGTTAAATTTCTCCTAATTTTATTGTCTTTCGAGAATTTATCAAGTTAATTTTGAAGCGCGCCATCAGGCAATTATAACTTATGGAGATTTAGTAGAAAACTTTAAAAATATATTGAAATTATACTTAAATTTTTTGTTTGCATATTATGTAGAGACGTTTTACAGGTTTTTGCAACGTTGAAAATGTTTCTTACACAGAATAATTCAGAAATGAATATAACATTTTTGGAAAGTGAATCATTCACCCCTGACATATTTCGCTTATCACAAAAGTTGGTTCCGCCATTTTTTGACTCGTGGTTTTGTAATCCAGCTGACAATGCGCATCCGACCATTGTGCAATCAACAATGGGATTTCCAAACGACTAAAACCCTGTTGAAAAGCGGAACCGACATGATTTAGGACCACATGCCATTTTGACCGTCGTGGTTGACGCGCCAATTCTCATATCTAACCAAACCGGAAGTGAATTATGGCATCAATAAATTTTTATTTTTCCAATACAAAATCTTTTTTTTAAATTAGCGTTTTTGATCAATATATTATTTTAAATTAATCTTGTTTTGTAATAATCGTAATAATTTAATCTTCATAAATAAATCTAGAAAAATTAAAATGACAACTCATATTTTTGTCTTTTTTATAATAAAATTTTCTTGAAGAATGTTTTTATTTTTCTCCAGACATCTCATATAAAACGAGCTTAATTCTAGTAGGGATGTGTGATTTTCTTGAAGGTGCCCAACAGCTGAAAATCTCTGTCCGGTTTGTATTTTTTAGAGCTTTCCAGTCGGCGAATGCTAAACTCAAAAGTTAATGCAAAAATAGAGCAGAGAGAAAGGACCTAAAATCGACCTCTTGTGCATGCTCACTCGGTCTTTTGCAGAATGGAAAGAGACAAAGCGAGTCCGATGCTACTTTTGCTCCGGCGAAAAGGGCGAACAAACAAAAAGCTCTTCCGCGCAAAGCCCTGCAGGACAAGCCCGTCTGTCCGTCCGAGCCACAAAGATATTAAATATGGCCGCGCGCACCAATTGAAAAGCAGGCCGGATTCTTCTCAACAAACTCGACTTGTTATGTGCGCGACAAAGAGGATTTGCTCGGGATAGAAAAGTTGTTGTGTCGCCGGATTGCTCTTTGAGTCGTTGTTGCCTCGCATGGCTTAAATTTTGAGTGTTGTCGTATTTTGCATCTCTGCCGGCCTCAATGCCAAGGAGAAAGAACTATCCAAAGAGAATCTCGTCCAGGGCTTTGCTTTAAATTTATTTTGAATGAAAATTAATTTCGCAAATTTTCAACCAATTTTTTCACACTTATCTGCCAAATTTCTTTAATTTGAAGTATCAAAACTATAAAATCAAATTAAATTATTTGATGCATGTTTTTCAGATTTATTAATAGAAATTTTGCAGATATTCTGATTCTTTATTTTTGCTGCTGAGGCTGCAGAGAGAAAATTGTCTCAACTCGTGTGTGAAACATTTCGCTCTCAATTCACTCGCTTTCTCTGCGGAAAAAATAACCTCTTTTCTCTGCATCGACGAAGAAAAGGTCCTCTTGATCGAAAAATTGGAGCCGATATAAACTCGAGAGTGCTCTCGAAGAAGAAAGTCGGTTTTGTGCGGCAGTTTCTTTTCTCGAGAGCGGCCGGTGCCAATTATCGGCGCAGATTTATCATTTCTCGATACGTCATTACCCGCGGCGGGCATCGATTTATCATTGTTGGCGGCACCTGAACCTTTATTGCAGTTATTACATTGTTGGATGGCGCTGGCCGACGAACAATGCCGATCGAAAGAGAGAGTTATGATGTGTGCTTTTCCAGAGAGAGGCGAAATGCATTCGATTTTCCTTCTCCAAGGCAAGAGGAATTGACGATTCTGAATTTTTATGGCCACATCGGTGTGCTTTTTTATATCTCCGGGTGTGGAACAAGTACGCACACGCCAAATGGTCGATGATCTACATATTTTCCCTCTCTATATTGAATGGAATGACTTAATTTTACGAGCTGCACCCGGTATTATGTAAAGAGACGGAGCGAATAATGAAAGTTCAGCGCCAAACGTACTCCATAAATCGACACAAGGGGAGAAAATTTAGAGCTCTGAATGCAATTCAACTCAACAGAAAAATATGATATCTCAAATTCTCCTTTCAAGAAAATAATATTCCTTCTACATGAAATGGAAACTCTTAAAATAATTTATTGGAAATTAAGTTATTAACATTTCGCAAAACTTATCTATTTCAAGGCTTTTTTCAAGAGAAGCAGTTTATTCAATGAATTTCTTCAATCTTGAAGAATAAGATGTATAAACAAATAGTCAATATTCTACATTTCACAGTTCCTTGTCCTTAATATATCTGATCTTCTTAATTTACTTGATCGTGTTTTAGACAAATTTTAAACAAAGCAGAATATAACAATCTTGGGGAAATATTTATTTATGTCTTTCATAAAATCGGACGTATTTATTTTATAAATAAAAAAATACACTTCTTAGATTTCTTATTGGTTGTTAACTTTGCAACGACTTCCTCCTTTCCATCGGAAATTAATCCCTGTGTCTGCTAACGTCAGAATCATTTCTTTTTTTTCATTTCCCTCCTTTCAAACAACCGGCATGTGATATAACTTCCGCTTTTCAAAGCCACACACCCTCATGGCATGACAAGAGTCGTGTTTCAAACGTCATAACACTTCCCTCCTCCCTTTCAAAATCCAGCCCGAACGTTGCATCAATTAAGCAAGCACCGCACGTTTAGCTCTGGCTCTCGTCAACTGGTGATTTTTGTGGTTTCAGTGGTTGGCGCCTGGCCGGCCGAGCTCGAGCAGACCAACCCCTGTTGGACCGACAAAGGGTGAGTACCATGTTTATTGCACTAGATGCAAAAGTTTGCACCAGTTCGCAACGTTGATATTGTGAGATGAAAAGTTACTTACTCCCCAGCAAAGTAAACAAGTCGTCATCGGTCGTAAAAAGAAAAAAAAACTCGTCGCAACCTTCGAATCAATGAATTCGCTCTGCTGATTTCATTCGACCTCTGCGTGGAATTTTTATATCGCATACTTTTCGCTTCACTCAGCGGCGTCTTTGTGGCTGCAGAAAAAACCGTTTGAACTCGATTCGTAATGAAAATAGTTGAGTAATTAATTTTCTCAAACATGCAGGAATGAGCAAAAAACTTTTGCGGGACTGATTTAATAAAAGTTAATCAATTAATTGAAAATTCTTCTTTAATATGGCAGTTTGTAACGCCACCACAAAACCATGAACTTGTAATTTGCTGGTGACCTGATTTGAAACTGACATTTAATGGAGAAATCCAGGAATCCGTAATTCGTCCGTATTTATTAAAGACCGGTGATTGTTTTTGAAATTTTTAATTCATCTGTCACAAAATGAGTTCTGACAAAGGAACTTTTCAGTTACTGACAAAAATTCAAAATATTGTAACTGAGTTTTGGAAAAAAAAATTGCTTACATTTTATAAAAAAAGGCTCCTTACTAGAGACTTTTTATGTTTTTTTTTTGCAGATTATTAATTCATTTAAAAAGATATTCACTTTTTTAAGATTTTTAAAAATTTTAGTTCTATACATTTTTGAATTTTATTTTCAATTGTCTAACACATTCTGAATCATAACGACTAAACTGATTTGAAAATTTTAGAAAACCCAAATTTAAAAACTTTTACAATAAGAATTGTTCTTTTTCGCGTCCCTAAACGTAAAACATTTTGTGTGTGTAGATGGTGAAGTGCCGCGAGTTTATAGTTTGACATTCTTCACGCGGCAGGAGGGCATGAAAAATTGAAATTACACCACAATATGCGATGCCGGAGAGATTACGAGCAGCCCAAGAATGTAATTTTGCTGCCGCTATAGCTGCATCGATCAGACCCGCTTCCCGGTTCATCAAAAAGCGCGGTGAATTATTCATGGCATATCCGATATGCCGATATATGCGAAGAGACATACATTTTAAGAGTCAAGTGCGGGCCTTATCTCTCGGCACGAACACATATGCACAGGCCAATTTCTCCACCAGGGCCACTTCTGTGTGCGCGAAACGATCGATATCTCCTAACAAATATTTTTGTAACTTTCTTTTTCAAATAATTCAAGAGAGAGGGTTGATTTCTCAGCGGATAAGTCAACGCAATTTCTTGTGGAAGTGAAATAAATTTAATTTAAATTCACTTAAAAGTTAATTTCGAAAATTAAAATCGTGAAGTAAATTATTTTCATTTTAGTGAAAAATTGAATATTTTTATGTTAAATTATGAGTAAAAGATTATATTAGACATTTAAACTAAAATAATCTTAATTAAAAAAAACTTAAAATTAAGAGCAAAAATCGTTTTATAATATATTATTGAATATATCATCATTTATTTATATATTTTTCATCTCCCCCCCCCCCCTTAAAAAAAGCAGCTTATTATTCTGATTTCAACGAATTTTTTTCCAAAATCATTCTCTCCCTGGTTTTAATTACTCCTCTGGTAATTAATAAATTAACGACGAAAATAAGCCTGTTTTGCATTACAATTTACCACGTTATTGTACCCGGTTTTAGCCCACGCATGAAATAAATGGACAATTCTAATTTAGCCGAGCGAGGCTGTTACGTTTACGACCACGCACCACTTTATATGAGCAAAAAAACTCATTAAATCTCCATTGTTAAATTAATATCTCATTCAGCGTTTTTTCCAACTTTTCCAGAGGTGTGAAGCAAAGCATTGTGAAAAATCCGTTTATATTCAAAACAAGAACACCAGCCAGAGGCATTTTTTTTTTATCAAAGCCGGCAGTTTTGCCTTTGAATCGTTGTTTACAGCGGTGCTTGTTATTTGTATCAGAACATGGGGTGTCGTGGCTCGTCTTCTCCGTTTCCATTTGTAATTTAATTAAAGACGAGTCGCTTATTTATTCTTTCTTTTTCAATCAATTCGAAACGAGAAACTCGCTCTCGGTCAACCGACGAGACAAACATAAATAATGGTGCTTTCCTTGTCTCTTGTCCACTCGAGCTGAGCCGACAGCGTTTGATGAATGAACAAACGGAATTGACGCCGAACTGGGCAAGTGGAAAAACATGATAAACACGCACTCGCGCACAGGAAAGGCCTTCTCGGCTATCTCTTTCCTCTTCCCTATAAGCTTGGAATTTATTTCTTCCTCTCCAAACCGAGCAAAGCGAAGCTCTGAAAATTGCAGCATTCAACGAATGTATTTTGTTTTCATTCACAATTTTTTCCTATAAAATAATTTAAAGGTTCAACTATTGAAGTAAAAATTTATGTTCCAACGAAAAAAAATGAAATTCTACTTAAAATAAACATAAATTTAAAACAAAAAATGTTAGTGAAACAAGCAGGTTGATCTCGAAAGTTAAAATCGAAATCAAGATAAGTCAATTAATTAAATTAAATATTTAGTTTCTTATTTTTCTTCAAATTAAAGGTGAAACTAAGTCACTGTAAAAAATGTAATATTTGGAAAATGGCTAGTCTATATACTTAAATTGAGCTTGAATCGCATTGGATCGATGAATGTATTTGCAAAGTGCCAATTTATTCTCCGGGAGCAAATTCGGCTTTGTGCAGCAAAAAAATGTAGTTTGACAGGCTTTCATTTTTTTTTCATTCGGTAAACACTCGACCCAAATAAGCCCTGCGAGGAAAAGAGAGAAAGAGGCTTGTTTTTTATTCTTTATGTGGTGGCCTCACCTGCGTCCGCCCTCTCAAACAAACTCATGCGTACATTTGGCATCGAGTGTGTTTCAAAGTGAATATTTTTATACATACGCAGCGAGATTTTGATGAGGAGCAAAGAGGGGTGGAGTTTCTTGCGAACCCTTCAAATGAAAAAAAGGAGGGCGGAAAACGGCAGCGAAGAAAAAAAGAGTGCCTGGTATATTTTTTCTTACTATCAAAGATTCAAAACAAACACTTTTCACAAACCAATATTTTATGAAGGTTTATTTAAGTTTTACCAAATAATTGTAAAATTGATCATACTTGAGAAAAATTCAGACGTTTTAACTGAAATTGCTAATTAGAGTTGGTACGAATTTCTACAGGTTTTATAAAAGAACTTTAATTTAAAAGATTTTTTAAGGAAAAAATTATTTCCTTTCCTCTGAAAATATCTTTCTTTTATGAAGATTAAAGGTATCAACAATGTTGTAGTAGAAGAAAGGAACTAATTTTAACCGTAATGTTATTTTATTTCCATAAATTTGAACAAAAATGTCTTTTAAAATAAGCTTTTTGCTGGAAAAGGATCTATATAAAATTTTGTCCATTATTTATCAAATGTGATTGTTAAAGTTGCCAAAATAAGCCGGAATGAAGATTGATTTAACAATAAAAAAGAATTTAATTAAAATACAGTTAAATTCGAAATCAAAATTTATTTGTTATTGAAAACAAACACAAATTTAGGACATAATTTTTATAAAAAGATCGCATCACTTTAACGCTGGTCGAATTTAAGTGGTTAACATCAAATGGCGGTGCGCCAACCCTTTCTGAGTCGGCGGACGGAAATTGATTTGGTGCTGGAAAATGAAATTACGCTCTCTCTATTGTTCTGCGTAAATTGGGTCCGGAGGCGGGTGGGCGTGCAAATTAAAGTGGCGCTGCAGCTGAATTATCAGGCAGTAAAATTGCGGACGGGGCTCACCTGCGCGACAAAAACCATGTTGCAGCGAAGCGCGGCGAAGCGCGGCGAAGAAAGTTTGTTTCTGCTCCGGCGTCCCCGAAGTGCAATAAAGGGACGCGGGCGCGCCCTTTTCTTTTAAAACTAATACAATTATAAGACGCACCTACTGAAACTCCGTCGAGCCTGCGAAGAAGCGACTCTGGAAAATCGCACAGCTTTTTATTCGGTCGTGCATCACCGGGCCCGCGCAAATTTAATACCTACATTGGCAAAACAAGTACCGCTCCGGCTCTTTTATTGCTTCGGGACGAGGAGGAGGAGGAGAGAGGCCGTTCGTCCGAACAAGCTCTTTTTGCCTGATGAAAAAAGTCCGAACACGACTCCAAGTTGTATTTCTGGAACGGAGAAAAGGTCTCTATTTTATATGAATAAAAGGTGACTTTTAGTATCAACTTTAAGACGCAGTCAGTTTTGAGCAAGAAAGTAAAAAGCTCCTCTAATTTTTTTAATTTGATTTTTAGAGTCGTGTTTTTACTGCAAAAGCATTTGAACCTCGGTGGGAGTCTATGTGAATTTATTCAGAACTGGAATATTGGCTTTTTTAAATTCAGTGACTAATTTGTAATCAGGATACAAACGTCCCTTGAGGTTCAAATTCATTTGGCGGGAAAAATGATCTCCTCGTTTCAAGCTTAGGATTTTAAGTTTTTCATCGCAATTTTGATGTTGCAAGTCATGAAAAATTGTATTTTTTTTTTGCATATTCATTGAATTTATTAAACCAGTAAATAGATAAAACATTTTTTTTGTAATTATAAAATAGTGGAGTAAATACTAAATAAAGGATATTTTTGTTTGTTCTAAAATAGATGGCACCACTGACTTTTAAAGAGTAAAGAAAATTTTCACCAGTCGCTGTTTTATTTTTATTTCTTCCCTTTTTACGTGTAATTAAAATCACCGGCTTTATCCAGGGAACAAGAACATTGCATTTGCCATCAGACACGTACAATTGCTACTTGTCTGCCATATAAAGAGTTCCGCCGAGCAGAAACGAACGAACCAATTTTATATATGAATTCTTTCTTTCGCCTTGTGCAGTTCCACTTGAACAACGAGCGAGGAGGGTGAAACGGTTAAGTTGGCTCAATAATTTGCCAGGCAAATCCCTTGTCTGCCGCAGCCG